TAGAATCTAAGTCTGAAATTCAGTTTATTACTATCTCGGTATCGTAATTTTATTAAATTCTTGTTATTACCAAAAATTTATCTAATCTTTTTTTTTACAATTGTATCAGGGTGGACATCACATATATCACCATTTTTCCTCTCCTCGGTCACATTATCAAGCAATTGGTGCTGAAATATGGTTGAACCACATTTATAATAAAGAAGAAAAACATGATTAAGACTCATGTTTGGCACTGTACTACAATTTTAAATGTAAAAATTTGGATCATAGTCGTAATACAATTAAATATCAAAAAATATTTGACATTACGGCAAATTAGGAACATTTTGCGAAACCTAGTAAATCCCAGACTAGTAAGTTTGGGTCTCAAACTCTAGAGTAAATTAAATAACCTCACTTGGTCCTTCGGATTCAAATGATGATATCAATTTTTCGTGCAGTCAACTCTTTATAATGAACTGGCAATTCTTATAGTGAAATATATATATAATATATATATATATATATATTTCAAAAAGTTCCTCATTGTGTAATTTACTGTTTTTATACCGAACTCTATAATAAATTTTTTTTAAAAAAGTTTATTATAAAGTATGTTCATTATATCCGGAATCGACTGTGTATGTATGTCTTCGCTTCTCAATATTTATAGCATGCACACTGTAATACAGTATTATGAACCACTCAGCACATATTTTTTAAAATTATCAAGTACATGGTGTATTAATATAATCACATGCTTTGATCCTACATTTTTGTTAAATAGCATCTGAATAAATTATAATTAAGAAAAATTAGTAACGGCAAATGTATGCAATGAATGGAAGCATCCTAATCAATGTTGGGTAATGGATCATCTAGTTTATCTACTGGTTTAGCAAAAAAAATTTTTAAAAAAAAAATCTAAATTCGATGAACTATTTTTTGACTTTCAGTTGGATCCAAGTTTAAAAACTGTTCAGGTTCTGAACTCATCCTATATGAGAATAATCATCATTTAAATCTATAGGTCGAATGCAAAAGTCTTCTTGGTTAGGACTTGCTGCAGTGGTTATAGATTTAAGCAATTTCAATTGGTTCTTATCGTTTCTAATGACTTGAACTGATTAGGCCATCCAATTATTAATAGTATCT